ATGCGCGCCAGATGCGGCCTCCGCAGCTACTGCGAGCCGGACTTCCCCTGGATGTGGGCGCCGAAGCAAGAGACGCGACTTGGGCTGCGATGGAGGCCGCGGCGGCTGCGCGAGGTAGCGAGGGTCGCGGGGACCGGTGCCGGGGGCTGTCAGAGACGCTGTGGAGGCGCCGCGGCAGCCGCTCGCAGAGGACTCTTAGCCGGCACTGGCCCTCTGCGGCGGGCCCCGCCCACTGCAGACACAGGCCCCGCCCCCTCCGTCGCCCCGCCTATCCTGCCACACTCTGCGGTGCTTCTCGAGCCGGAGGCCCCGCCCCCGAAGTTTGTAGCTCCGGGCCACGCCCACAGCCTCGTGGCTCCTCCCACTAGCGGGCTCCTCGGGTCTCTCGGCTCCATTGACCGGCGGCCTACAGCTCTGGCTCCGCCCAGGTCCCGCTGGACCACGCCCTCTCCTGCTCTGGGTCCTGCCGCCCCGCCCGGCTCCGATTTTTTGCCGGGGGACATGGACCGCAGAGCTGCATCTGGCACGCGGTTAGCTGATGCCGCCGCAGAGCCAGCCCGGCCTCTTAAAGGGACCAGCAGACTCGGCAGCGCTTGTTTCCTCCTTTAGGAAGCCCTTTCTTCCACGTCCTCTGCCAAGGAGGCTCCGCTTCTCCCCCCCTTTTTTATATTCCCACGGGGTGCGATACACCTCGGCCTGGAAGGACTAGGGGACCATAGATCTATCTGTATCCCACCCCACTTTAGCCTGGGCGTTCTTCCCAGGATAAGGCCACTCTTCCGCCGTCACGTTTCCCACGCGGTTGACCTAGGCAGCTCCTGGACTGCTTGTGCCCAAGATCGGCCTGGGCACTGCAGAGCCCTCTGGTCCACGGGCCCACTGAGGCTCTTCGCCGATGGGGGGCGGTGCGAGGGGATGCCACGCGAAGACCCTCCGGAAATGACATCCGCCTGCTCAGCCTGGGCTGCTGCCCTTCCCCCTCCCATAATGACAGACCACTTCTCTCCACCACCACACGCATTTAATCCTGCTGACTTCAGAGCTGGAGGTCCATTTCATTGAGCCACTTAGGGGGTTGCATGGGGGAGGAAGCGGTCTGGAGGGCAGAGCCAATCCGAGGACGCATTCATTCATTCATTCATTCATTCAAATCTGTTTTCAGATCCACCACCCTAAAGAATAGGTTCTCCAATCTCCTGGTGTTGCTAGAACCAATTTGCAAACATCTATCATTATTTTTATATGGTAATAATAGCTCCCATTATTGAGTTCTTAGTTTATGTCACGTGCCATACTTAGTTATCCCCATTTTACAGAGATCACTGAGATAGGAGGAACACCAAGCCATCCCAAAGCGCATGCTCTACCTCTCCTTCAGAAGCTGCGGCCTCTTGCCCATTTCCCCATCTGATCCTCACCTCAGAGGCTGGTAACCCCCTCCTTTGAGCACCTTTGGCTTGTGCTGTGTACACTTAACCAGATATGTGGCATGTTCCAAATTCTTCTGGCCACGTATTTTGAACTGCAATTTAATATTTGTCTCGTTAACTTTTGTGCTTGTTTTTCCCCTTGTGTGCAAGCTTGAGGGCAGGTACCCTGTTTTACAGGGACAATGGCTCGGTTTTTCAGTGACAAAAGAGACGCAGGCTTGCTCTAGGGTGAGGTCGTGGCTGTGATGTTAGTCTGCTGTTTTGATTCAGTCACAAGAGCAACCCCTCCACATGGTTCCTTCCCTCACTCCTAGCTCCTTGCTCCCCGCCAGAATTGATGCTCACCTTTACAACACTCGGTGCTGAAACTCACCTGCCCTGAAACCTTTCTCTGCTTAGCCCAACCCAACAGGGTCAATGCTCTTCACTCTGTTCTCTCATATCCTGGTGATTTTCTTGTTTATCTAACCTAAAGAGCCAAAACTCCTTTGTCTTAAAGCAGGAATT